GGGCGGGGGAGCGGTAGTATCAGTAGCTCAACAGGTATCATGGTGTTCACTGTCAACAAAAGGGGTACGGGGTTTGATCCCTGCCAGGGCTTTTTTTTTCTTGTGTATATTAAACCTCATAACCCCAGAGCAAGTAGGATAGAGCCCCTGGTCTTCTCGGATAAGGGCAACAAAAATTACGGAAGTCCTGTGTGAACGTCACCGTCCGGGAAAAGTTCAAAATTAATCCCTACCGATAAAGTGAAGTCATTACATTCCGTATAAATATAAAGAGTGCCCACGAAAAAGGAATGTAGGTGCGGAAAATGAATATCTTATAGTATAGCAAGTTACCCCTTGTGCTCCTGCAGGGGAACGATGGAATGAGAAGAAGAAGAAGAAGAAGAAGAGAAGTCCAAATCATTATTACTCTGGGAAATGAAAATGAACGCCAGCCATCTAATAGACGCCATTTACTCAAAATGCTAACTGAAATAATCTCCTGTCTACATGCTATTATCAACGACCGACCATGCTGATGCGATAGAATAGCACCTAGTCTGAATTGCTTTGGGTTTTGATAAATCTGGAATAGATCGTAAGTAATACCAAGTATCGGTAAGGACAAAGAATATATTTATCGTATTTGTCTCCCCTCCCGTCATTTTTGTGTTTGTTACTCCCTTGTAGTGGTTCATGAGACGCATGCTACGTATCCCATGGACAGCTAGAAAAACAAATGAAGAAGTCCTGGTTGAAGCAAATTATAGAAAACAACTTATCACGAATATAAGAAAACGACAGGCAAATTTTTTCGGACACACAATGCGGAAAGAAGCATTGGAGAACATTGTAACAACAGGAAAGTTTGATGGAAGGAGAGGTAGAGGCAGACAGAGGGAAAAGATACTGGACAAGATGACAACATGGCTGGGAGCAGCAAGAACAACAGACACCATTGCTGCTTCGAAAGACAGATGGAAGTGGAGGTCCATGATCGCCCACGCCAGTCGGCAAGGCACCGGATGATGATGATGACTCCCTTGTAACACCTCTAATCTTCTGGCGCTCATATGACCTTATGCAGTTGCGTGCGCCGTAAAACCTCTACTAAAACTAAAGAAAAACAAAGAATATTCTTCTCTTTATCAGCACCACTTTTCTGGCTGAATACACGAAAAATAAGAACATCAAACAGTAATCATATTTTTATTATTAAGCTTTTTGAAAGATAAGACAGGGAATTTGTGAGTGGAGTGGGAACAAATGTAAAGAAAGACCTAAAGCGAGGGATCGAAATAATTTGAATCTCCTTAAACAACCACCTATCCAAGAAAATAGCCTGTAGAAACTGTCTCTCCTAACGTCTTCTCTTGCGTTTTTGGGGGGAGGGGGGGGGGTAGATGTTATTATAATGACACTGTTCTAGAGGATGATGGCCAGTCTAAAATGACCTCTTTTATCCTCGGCAATTGTTGGTCGTCTTTGGAAGGTTCGCTACATTGTAATGTGTACAACGAAGACGCATTACATGTTACATGAACAATAAATATCACTTGTCATTGATTTTTCTGTCTTGTCCAATGAGGTTCTAGATTCTACTTTCAATTTTGTATATTAAGAAAAAGCGCAAGGATAAAATTGTGGACGAGGGCTTAGCCTGAAAGAAAAGGGAGAAAAGGGCAGCAGACTGGCACAACTCGAACTAGCTGGTGTCCCCCAAAATAGCTGAATTCGTTCAACGTAACAACAGATGTGGATACAAATAGACGCTGTTGGCATTCATACAAAATTCTGACCGAGAGCATAAAATATAGATAAACAATTCAGTATCATAATCGCACATAATAATATCACACACTTCAGTTCGGTGTAAAGGCTATTTTTCGAGAGGGTTCGGGCAAACAAACGTTAGTAAATTAGGAGAAACTCCCGGTCCTAAAACAATAGCATGCAGTGCTGAGTTTAATGAAAGGATCTACGATTATGAAAGAAAAGGAATAACATCATGTCGTGTGAACCAATAGCTGCTAAAATAACTAAACCCATCACCTCTACTTGGTTTTCCTGCTTCCTAAGTGTTGAAGAAGATGGTGACAATGTAATCATTCGTGCTCTTGTATGGAAGAAAGTGTTAGAAATAAACGTGCACTCTAGAACTTCTTGGTCTTTCTTTTCCGAAAATCGCTGAATGTGCGGCAGAAGCTATCCAAGGGTGTGCTCTGCCTTACCCTCGCCTTGACCTTGACCTTCTTTAGAGCCCGTTGTCCTTGACCGACTACCATTGCTTGACGTCCCAGCCGCACTAGCGCCCACTGCTGGGGAGTGTTGGGGATTTCCGGACACTGTGTACCCTGGATCTTCTATTTTCAAAGAGTTCAGTTCAATCCCAGAATCCTTTGGCGTGTTGCCGACTCCGATTGTTCCTTCGAGAAAATCATCGTCCGAGGATTCTGGGCAAGAGAACGGCGGTTGGGCTTCAAAACTCTCCATAAATTCTGTAGTCCTTTCTGTCCCACTAAGCTTTGAGCCCATGGTTCAACTAACAAAGTAAACCTTTACCGGGCATGAATGCTTACTCTTTTTACTTATTCTATTGAACGTTTTAGCAAGCTCTTAGCACAGACCGTATAACGACCCACCAGAGTTACTTATAATGTCCAAAAAACGTATGCACACAATGCATTATATTATGACCAAATAAAAGCTGTTTAACTTGCCTGCTGAAATGTCATTTGGCATCAGTGTGCCTGTTAGAACAAGTAGTATATAATTACCTTTCTGGTCAAATGACGATAGAAAATCACTTTGTGTTTCCACATGCTACACCATAAAACTTCTTATGAATCTGAAAACTATGTTAGGTGTTGCCATGAATGAGATTAAGGGGAAAAAATGGCAATATTGGGGTTACATTGTTAGTATAGTGTGTTAGTCAAATAAACATGCTCACCACCACACAACAAGTACATGTTTGTAAAGGGTATATATATATATAGCAGTTCAAAAACCTGCTTTCACCCCAGTAATAATAATATTGTTACAAGGAGTCCAAAACTGCAGAAACCGTTAATTGTGTGATACACTATATCTTGAAGAAAATAAAAAGTACAAGGTGAGGTTGACATTTAAAATACAAAAAATGTAGAAGTACACACAAATACGTATTCAGCATAATTTTAGAGATGTTTGCAAATATGCAAATGAAAATTTAACGATGTGACTCGTACTCTACATTCAAGACGAAAAGATAAATTCGGGAGGTAATGGAGCCAAGTCATTGAATATTTTGTAACAGCTCATGTGTCTCATCAAGAATGGATGGGCATATGCTATATCAGTAATGAAACAAATGATCACAAAGTGTTGAAAAACCAACCATGGAGAACTGACACAAATTTTGCACACTACAGAGAGATTTCAGTTCGTGGTACTTGTTCAGTGAATCCCAAAATCAGCTACAAAAATAATCCCTACTGTCTTCATGTTTGAACCGACAAAGCAATCAAACAAACATGGATAAGTAGACAGTAGAATAAAAGTTTGCAGCAATCATTTCGTTAGTTTGGCTTTGATTATTGGAAGAAAATCAGAAAACAATTGGAGCAAGCCACAACGAAAGTTTTCCGCATTAATTGTTTTGAGTTGATTAAAATTCTGACTGTTTTATTTTTCTTTGTAACGCGTCCAAGTCCCCACACTTAGAGAATACGCAGTTTCATTTTTTTAATGAATCTGTACATTATCAATTAAAGAACGTGTGAATAGAGCTGAAAAAAGAATTAGACTGGACCCTTTTCTATTAAATCTCATGGAAAAAAGTAGATTAGTACCTGCGAATAAAAATTACATCAGAGCAACAGATTGAAACCCCTTGAATGGAAAATCAGTTTGACAAATCCATGATGATAATATTACTAAAAGTTTCTGTCTTCTCAATTTGTGTCGAGAAGATAGACCCATACAGGTCTGAGAACACAACATTGACAAGAAAACCGACGTGGTTGGTCTGGTCACGAGACCATGGTTATTACTCACCTAGATTATTCTCTTTCTGTGGTATCTTGTCGATGCACGGGAAACCTCCGCAGTTGGAGAAACACAAAGACTTGTTGAGGTACAGGAAGAAAATGACGAGAAGAAGAACGAAGAACAACACAGCTCCCAGAAACGCAACAGCCTCCAAAGGAACTGAAAGAGATAAACGTAAAAAGATGTTAAAGTCTACTGTTTTGCCTCTCCCCTGTTTCTGTTTCTTCTTCGTCAGTCTTCATGTTGCGAATGGAAAGTTACACTCAGAGTGACATGAAGCGGGTTCTTAGGAAGACTGGAGCTAAGCAATATAGTCCAACTTCGACAAGACGGGGTGGCTTGACAGACGCTAAGGGCTCGCCGTCAGCTCAGTTGGTATCATGATGGACTATAAATATTGTCATCATCATCTCTTAGATGGATAGATGGATGGAGGGAGGGATGATGGATGGATGGATGGATGGATGGATGGATGGATGGATGGATGGATGGATGGATGGAGGGATGATGGATGGATGGATGGATGGATGGATATAAACAAACAAACAAACAAACAAATAAAGAGCAGCTTCGAACGTAACCAAAATATTATAGAGAACACATACAAGCCAAAAAAACCAAAGTACTTACGAAAGCTCTACTTAAAATAAGCACGATTCAATATTCTACAGCAAAATTCTGAAATAGTCCTCTCCATGTCAGGCAGGTATGACAGAGATAAGTTTTCGAATAATATCAACGGCTTGAAGCAAAATGCACAGGATATATACTGAGCACCCTTGAAGCTGGGAAGGTGTACTAAATGAGACACGAGAGTCCGAGTGGCTTTGCACACTGTGCGGGATTTCCCCCCATCAGTTTGTCGCGCTGGGCGACAAACAGCGCATCAATTGATTTCCAATGGGATTTACGCTGTCAACAAGGAGTAGTTTGTTGCAACCTCAGAGGGACCTGGTAATGGGCAAACGGCGGGGAAAGAGCGACATAATGGTTTCGGTTTGGGTCTCAATTCCCGATGGACTGTTGATGTCTGTGCGCATGTCTAAAGGACAAACAGGAATAATGGTGACGGTGAGGTTTATAATATTTTGGTGGAAAAAAAGGAGAAGAGTGTTTGCCTTACTGTTTTGTGTATTGGGTGTGTGTGTGTGAGTGTGTGTGTGTGTGTGTGTGTGTGT